GTACACTTAGGAGGAACGGAGATCCTAATAAAAGCATGTTTTAGGGAAGGAATAGATACCCCTATAGAAATATACTTGGCAGATGATAGAATTGTACAACCTATAGAAAAGAGTATAATAAGTGCCGTAAGAGGTAACTTAATATACCAAATTTTTTAATTTATAGTAAGTGCCAACTATTCAGTAGCAATAGATGATAAAAATATAGATAAATCATTAGTGCTATACTGGAAAATGTTTGAAATAGAATTAGCACCAGGAAGTAAAATATTCACAACAAGATGTAAAAATCTATATGTCCTAACGACAAAACATAAGATAACAGCTAAAATAAAATAAATAAAATAAAAATAGAAAATCCATTCGAAAGAATAGTATCAGTTATAGACAACAGTGATTACAGTGATACGAAAATGGACATGAAAGAAGATTTAGAAATAGTAAAAGAAAGATTAAGCACGTCGAAACGAACAAATAACGAAATGCCAGAAACGTCATAAAAAATAAGTACATCAAGAAGTACATCAAGAAGAATAAATTATATAACTCCACAAAAATTAATAGAACAAAAAATAGAAGAAATAAACCCACATCATTATTATATAACAGGAATAATGGACCAAAGAAAATATTTAATACTAATAAATACAGGGCAGGAAGAGAATTATGTTATAAGAGAACTAATACCAGAACAAGAGATAGTAACAATAGAACAACAAAATTCAGAACTACCAAAAGCGTTAAGAAAAAACGAAGAAACAACTGAAAAAGAATTAATTATTGGAGGAATACCAATATTAATAAATTTTAAAATATATCAAGGAGATAAAAATATTACACTAGGGATAAAATGGTTAGAAAAAGTCAAACCATATAAATTAGAAGATAGGCAATTAACAATAAGTTATGAAAATAAGAAAATAATAATAAAAAGAACTTTGATATAATGCCAAAGATATACATACTTTCCAAAATAATAGTAGAAGGATATTATAATAGATATTATACACCTATGGTGGATACAGGAGCAGAAGCTAATATGTGTAGACATAATTGTTTACCAGAAAGTAAATGAGAAAAGCTAAAAAACCTCATAGTAGTAACAAGATTCAATAATGAGGGAAGTATGATAACATACAAAGCAAGAAATATAAAGATACAAATATGGGATAAAATATTAACCATAGAAGAAATATATAGTTATGAATTCAAAAATAAAGATATATTATTAGGAATTCCATTTTTAGATAAATTATACCCACATATAATAACAAAAACACATTGGTGGTTTACTACCCCGTGTAAACAAAAATTAGGAGCAAAAAGAGTAAATAATAAAGTAAGAAAAACAACACCCTGGATTAAAGGAAGTGAAAAGATTACCCAAAAATTAGAAAATGTAATACAAAGTAACCATAATATAGAGATAATCATTTTCTCAATAAATAAGATAAAACCACTACAAGATAAACTAGAATTACTATATAATGATAATCCACTCCAAGGATGGGAAAAACATCAAACAAAAATAAAGATTGAACTAATAGATGAAAATAGCATAATAACACAAAAACCTTTAAAATACAATTTTAATGATTTAACAGAATTTAAAATGCATATAAAAGAATTATTAGATAATAACTACATACAAGAAAGTAATAGTAAACATACTAGCCCAGCATTTATAGTAAATAAGCATAGTGAACAAAAAAGAGGAAAAAGCCGTATGGTTATAGATTATAGAAACTTAAATGCAAAAACAAAAACATATAATTATCCGATACCAAATAAAATACTAAAAATTAGACAAATACAAGGATATAACTATTTTAGTAAATTTGACTGTAAATCAGGATTTTACCATTTAAAACTAGAAGATGAATCTAAAAAGTTAACAGCATTCACAGTACCACAAGGATTTTACGAATGGAACGTATTACCTTTTGGATATAAAAATGCACCAGGTAGGTATCAACATTTTATGGATAATTACTTCAACCAATTAGAAAATTGTATAATATATATAGATGATATATTGCTATATTCTAGAACAGAGAACGAACATATAAAACTACTAGAAAAATTCATACACATTGTAGAAATATCAGGAATAAGTTTAAGTAAAAAGAAAGCAGAAGTAATGAAAAATCAAATAGAATTTTTAGGTATACAAATAGATAAAAACGGAATAAAAATGCAAACCCATGTAGTACAAAAAATAATTAACTTGAATGAAACACTTGATACAAAAAAGAAGTTACAATCATTTTTAGGATTGGTTAACCAAGTAAGAGAATATATTCCTAAATTAGCAGAAAACTTAAAACCATTACAGAAAAAATTAAAAAAGGACATAGAATATCATTTTGACGAAAAAGATAAAATACATATACAGAAGATAAAAAATATGTGTAAAAAATTACCAAAACTATATTTTCCAGATGAAAAGAAACAATTTACATATATTGTAGAAACTGATTCTAGTGATCACAGCTACGGAGGAGTTCTAAAATATAAATATGATAATGAAAAAATTGAACACCATTGTAGATATTATTCCGGATCATACACGGAACCACAATTAAAATGGGAAATAAATAGGAAAGAACTATTTGGATTATATAAATGTTTGTTAGCATTTGAGCCATATATTGTTTATAACAAATTTATAGTAAGAACAGATAATACACAAGTAAAATGGTGGATAACTCGGAAAGTACAGGATTCAGTAACTACAAAGGAAATAAGGAGACTTGTATTAAATATACAAAATTTTACATTTACAATTGAAGTAATACGGACTGACAAGAATGTTATTGCAGACTACCTATCAAGACAAAGGTACCCAAACAGATGAAAGCCAAGAATCAAAAGACATATTTACAATCCTTACTACTCTATCCTTACAGATGGAGAGTATGGGAAAAAGATTACAACAGCTAGAAAGTCAGCAGCATGACTATAAAAATGCGGAGCTAAGTCGATCGGAAGACTCTAAACTTCCAGAGGTAGAAGGAGACGTTGGGAAACTCCATAAAACCCATGACAAAGTTTGTTTACCTACAGCTGCAGGCACAAGCAAACAAGTTAACAAGAAGCTACATACCAATGTAAATCTAAACAACGTATTTGATAAGCCATTCACATCAAAAAAGCCAAAAGAAGCAATAGTTATAGCCCCACAAACTTCAACCTATGCTAATAGCCTACACCACAACAAAAAGGTATATAACCATATTACTCAAACATATATTGAGAATATATATAAAATCCAGACATTTCTGAACCTAAATCCCAGGTCAACTACCACTACAGATCCAACACAGGATTATGTAACCCAAAAACTACAGGGATATAATAGGCTAATAGCCCAACCAAAAACAAAAGCCAACCTAGTAAAGACATGTTACAACTACGGACTACTCAGCACCGTATATACCCATGACGGAGAAGAAATAATTGGAATACCAGAGCTATACAAAGCATTTGTCACCTTCAAAAGAATTACAAAAGGCAACCTATTCTTCATCAAATTCTATACAGCACCAGCTGAAATACTATATGATGAAATAAAACCCATTATACAGGTGATAAAGATAGGACTAACACGAGATATGATAATACCGGAAGAAATAGAGCAACAACCGGAGATACAGAAAATGGAGATACCAAGTTTCTATGCCAACAAAAGAATAATTGGTATAGCAACTATTATTCAAGAACTAGCTAACAATTATCTACAAGGAAATGCTATCTGGAGCTATTATTCCAGAGACCAGTTAATGATATATGCCAATTCAAAAGAAATACGACAAGGAGATATGGAAGAAGTCCAAAAATGGATTTTATCATTGCTAAAACCAGAAGCACAGCCAACTACAAGAGCCTTGAAGAAGGAATTTATTTCTAATGAGTTATTGACAAGATACTGCAAACTAGTGGGACACAAATATCCAGAACACATATGTTCGAAATGCAACGAAGAAGATAACCAAGTGCCAGAAGTCCAACTAGAATAAAAGTATCGGCAAGAAGACAAAAGAAGAAAACAACTATTGAAAACAAAAAATGTAAAGTAAATAGTAAGAGTCATAATCATGAACAGTAAAGGTCGTTCATGAATAGTAAGAGTCATGTAAAAAAGTCGTAAAGTAAATAGTAAGAGTCATAATCATGAACAGTAAAGGTCGTTCATGAATAGTAAGAGTCATGTAAAAAAGTCGTAAAGTAAATAGTAAGAGTCATAATCATGAACAGTAAAGGTCGTTCATGAATAGTAAGAGTCATGTAAAAAAGTCGTAAAGTAAATAGTAAGAGTCATAATCATGAACAGTAAAGGTCGTTCATGAATAGTAAGAGTCATGTAAAAAAGTCGTAAAGTAAATAGTAAGAGTCATAATCATGAACAGTAAAGGTCGTTCATGAATAGTAAGAGTCATGTAAAAAAGTCGTAAAGTAAATAGTAAGAGTCATAATCATGAACAGTAAAGGTCGTTCATGAATAGTAAGAGTCATGTAAAAAAGTCGTAAAGTAAATATTACGAGTCACATTCATGAACAGTAAAGGTCGTCCATGAACAGTAGGAGTCGTTTAAATTTTCTATATATTTTGTAAATCAGAAGAGGAGAGATCATCCTCAGACATCCTCATACTCACCTTCTCTCTCTTATCTTCTCTCAATAAAATATCTGATTATATACAAACTTCTGAAAGCTATGGAGCATTCAAACGAGTTACAAAACCAGGTAAGTTTATTCATAATCATGAGGTTAACTACGACCATCAGAGGCCTGGTGGTTTATTTTAGAGGATTGAGCTTCCCGAGTAGAAATGGAAGTGGATCACTATGGATTTCACTATGGAGTTCGACGCAGTTTGGGTCATTGTTGATAGGCAGACCAAGTCAACGCATTTCATTCCTGTGGCAGTCTCCTATTCGTCCGAGAGGTTAGCTGAGATCTATATCCGAGAGATTGTTTGCCTTCATGGTGTGCCGCTATCTATCATTTCGGACCGAGGTACGCAGTTCACCTCGCACTTCTGGAGAGCAGTTCAGCGAGAGTTAGGCACCCAGGTTGAGTTGAGTACAACATTTCATCCTTAGACGGATGGACAGTCCGAGCGGACTATTCAGATATTGGAGTATATGCTCCGGGCTTGTTTTATTGACTTCAGGGGTTCGTGGGATCAGTTTTTGCCTCTAGCAGAGTTGCCTACAACAACAACTACCAGTCGAGTATCCAGATGGATCCTTACGAGGCTTTATATGGTAGGCGGTGTCGATCTTCGGTTAGATGGTTTGAGCCTGGAGAGGCTTGGTTGTTGGGTACGAATCTAGTTCAGGAGGCCTTGGACAAGGTTAGGATCATTCATGATAGGCTTCGTATAGCTCAGTCTAGGCAAAAGAGCTATGCAGATCGTAATGTTCGAGACGTGGCTTTCATGGTTGGTGAGCGGGTATTGCTCCGAGTGTTGCCTATGAAAGGCGTGATGAGATTTGGGAAGAAGGGAAAGCTTAGTCCTAGGTTTATCGATCCTTTTGAGATTCTTGACAGAGTGGGAGAGGTGGCTTATAGACTTGCATTGCCGCCTAGTTTATCAGCCATGCATCCAGTTTTTCATGTGTCTATGCTCCGGAAATATCACGGCGATCCATCCCACGTGTTAGATTTCAGTACTGTCCAGTTGGACAAGGACTTGTCCTATGAGGAGGAGCCGATAGCTATTCTAGACCGGCAGGTTCGTCAGTTGAGATCCAAGAGTTTCCCTTCTGTTCATGTTCAGTGGAGAGGTCAGCCTCCTTAGGCATCGACCTGGGAGTCCGAGTCCGATATGCGGGACCATTATCCTCACCTTTTCCCCGACTCAGGTACTTCTTTCTTTTGTCCGTTCGAGGATGAACAGTTGTTTTAGAGGTGGAGAATGTGACGACCCAAAGGGTCATCACCTATTTTCTTATCCATTCAGTGCTTCTGAGGCCTTAATAAACTTATTTGTAGTCGCCTCGATTTGCGTGCGTAGTTCGGGCGCGTAGTCGGAAAGCTTAAATATGAAATTCTGTAAAAAATGCTAAATTTTGGTGTTAAAATAAATAAGTTTGACTTTGGTCAACATTTTGGGCGAACGGACCCGGACTCATGATTTGATGGTCCTGGAGGATCCGTAGGAAAATATGGGACTTGGGCGTGTGCCCGGAATTGAATTCCGAGGTCCCAAGCCCGAGAAATGAATTTTTAAGTAAAATTGTTTACTGAAGATGTTTAAGGAAAATTTAAATGAAATCTGATTAGAAAGTAATGGTATCGGGCCCGTAATTTGGTTCTGGCACCCGGTACAAGTCTTATATATGTTTTGAATCACTCCTGTAATGTTTGGTTAAAAACGGACGTCATTTGACGTATTCTGGACCCTAATTGGGAATTGATGTTTAAAAGGAAATATGAGAAATTTCACTGATCTTGAGGCTTAATTCGATGTTCATGATGTTATATTGGTGATTTGATCACACGAATATGTCCGTAGGGTGTTTTTGAGGTAGTGTGCATACATGGGTTAGAGTTCCGAGGGATCGGGTGAGTTCCGAATAGGTTCCGGGATGCCGTAGGTTTAAAAGATCAGATGTTGCAGGTTCAGGAAAATATTCCAGGCCTCTGAACCCTTTAGCGCGGACCGCGAGGAATCGCGTGCGGCCACGGAGGGGCCAACGTGGCCGCGGTCGCCTTTGCACGGTCCGCGGTGGGTGCTGTGCGGCCACGGTCAGCTTTGCACGATCCGCGCGGGGCAAAGATCTTCAAGTTTTCAGGAGGGGCCAGCGCGGCCACGGTCGGCTTACCGCGGTCCGCAGTGGGGGCTTCAGAAAGGGTATAAATAAACGTGAATTTCAGTTACTTTTACACTTTTCAAACCCCAAAACATAAGAGGCGATTTTCTAAACCACGTTTCTTCTCTAAAACGATTGGTAAGTGATTTCTAACTCATTTTCATCACTCCTTAACATCTTTTAACATGATTTAAACTTAAAATCAAAGATTTTCGTGTGGGAAAATGGGTGTTTTGGGTAGAACCTAGGTTTTTTTCTAAAATTGGGGATTTGGACCTCAATTTGGGGTCCATTGCAAATCAAATCATACATTTGGATTCTTGGGGGAATGGGTAAAATGGTTTTGGTCCGAACCTCGGGTTTCGACCACGTCAGCCCAGGGTGATTATGACTTTTTGAGTAAAACTTTGGGAAAACTCATTTTCATGCATTGGGGTTGATTCATTTAGCACTTATTGATGTAATTGAGTAACTTGTGACTAGATTCGAGCAAATTGGTGGTGGAATCAAGGGGTAAAGCTATAGTTGAGGCTTGAGTGGTGTTCAAAGCTTCGAGGTAAGTGTTTGGTCTAACCTTAGCTTGAGGGATTAGGAGTTGAGTCTTATTTGCTACGTGCTAATTGTCGAGTACGACGTATAGGCATGGTGGCAAGTATCTATACGTTGGTGTCTAGTATGACCGTGAGTCCTTATATTACGGATATTCTTATTATGTTGTATCTTCCATGCCCTAACAATGATTTTCTATATATTGTAACAAGCATGTAAAAGAAATTTTGATCCATGCACTTCGAGGAGTGTTGGCTCGAGTTATAATACGAATCGTGAAAGTATACGAGATGATTGAACCCCTATGGAGCGTTGGCTCAGGTGGTAAAGTGAGATGAAAAGTGAAAGTGAAAGAAAGAGAAAAAAATATTAAATTGCTCCGTTGCTGGGATGTTTGTTGTTTTGTTGATTATCTCCCTTGCCGGAAAGCTGAGAATATTGATATTGTTCCCTTGCCGGGATTTAGCTGCTTAATTGTATTCCCTTGCCAGGATTTCTACATTTATTTGTCTACTCCCTTGCCCCTTTGTTTGTGATTGTTGTTTGGGTGAGGAAGAGTGTAAAGCACGAAGGGTGATGCCGTGCCGCACGATGTACCATTCCGTGCCGATTTTATTGATTATATGGTGAGAAAAGAGAGTAAAAGTGCGAAGGCTGATGCCGTTCATATTTTTATTATATGATTGTTTTGGTGAGGACGAGAGTAAAAGCACGAAGGGTGATGCTGTGCATTTGTTGAATCCTGATTCTTTGTTGATATATGAGTTATATTGTTTTGTTCATTATTTGTTGTTATTTGATTTACTTCGAGGTTATAGATTCCCTTACCCTATTTTCCTTGTGATTGTTGTTTGGGTGAGGAAGAGCGTAAAGCACGAAGGGTGATGCCGTGTATTGTTTTGGTGAGAATCAGAGTAAAAGCACGAAGGGTGATGCCGTGCAAATTGTTGACTTTTGATTCTTGATGATATTCTGGCTTTGCTGCTTCTTTCTGTTATTGAGGATTTCTATTTGAAACTGTTACCTCCCCATAACATTTTTCCCCCTCCCACATTGACTGGTTATTTTTGTATCTATTTTCCGCCGTATACATATATGTATATGAACCGCATAGGTCTATTTGGAGTCTGGTCCTAACCTTGTCACTACTTCGCCGAGGTTAGGCAGGACACTTGCCAGCACATGGGGTCGGTTGTGCTGATACTACACTCTATGCTCATTTGCACAGATCCAGGTCTTAGACAGCAGCAATAGCGTGAGAGTCAGCTTTTAGTCCAGTGAGACACCGAGGTAGCCTCGCAGGCGTCCGCAGGCCCGACGTCTCCTCTATCTTTATTTCTAGTCTGTTATCTCCTGTTTTCGAGACAAACAACTTATATGTTTTTCCTTTCAAACGGTTGTATTTAGTACTCTTAGAAGTTCGTGAGTAATGTGACACCAGTTCTTGGGTAAATGCATATGTTGATTCTCGCATTATTTTTTCGTATTCTTTAATTTAAGTCTTCCGCATAATTATTTAAATTCCGTTGCTTTCATGTTATCACTGATAATTGTCAAAAGAAGAAATTGTTAATAAAGTAAACAGTTAAGGATTGGCTTGCCTAGCTCACATTAGTAGGCGCCATCACGACTCCCGAGGGTGGGAAATC